AGCAGAAGGTGGCGGTAATGCACCTATTTGCGTTGGTGCCAGCCGGCGTTAAAAACCAAGAAGAAGAAGAAGAAGAACTGTTTGGAATGCACCTATCGTTTGTTTGCCAACCGCCATAAAACTCCAAAAGAAGAAGAAGAAGAACTGTTTGGTCGAATTCAAAGGAAAGGAATTTTAATAGGATTTTGTTGGGTTCCAGCCCATATAGGGGTAGTTGGGAATGAAATAAGTGATCAACTGGCTAAAAATGCTTAAAAAAAAGAAAGAAATTGATATCAATGTTCCATTAGGTAGAGGGGAAGTTAAAAGTATTACTAACAGGAATGTTACAAGGGGATGGCAAGAAGTGTGGAATCTAGATTATAAGGGAAGACATTTATATAAAATCAAAAAGCAGGTAGATACTAAAGTGATTGTAAGAGGAAGGAATAGGAAGGAAGAGGGGATAATAGCTAGATTAAGACTGGGTCATTCAGGGCTGAATGGTTCATTGTTTTTAATTGGTGTACATATTAACGGCTTATGTGAATTTTGTGGTGAGAAAGAAACAATTGAGCATGCAATACATGAATGTCTATGTATGAAGTATAGTGAGGATAGGAAGGAACTAATAGCATATCTAAAAGATAAAGGTAAGAAGAATAAGGATGTGGGATATTTATTGGGATATGAATTTAATAGTGATAGAACAGGATATAGGATTTTATATATTTTTTTATATAGCACAGGACTAGATAAAATAATATAATATAAAAGATGTCCTGTTTCGGTTTGGAGTCTAAGGGGTTCAGTGTGGAGGACTGAGGAGCTGAACACGCAGCGCCAACCGATACCTGGACTCTTGATGGCTTCAGAGTTGAGACAGAATAACTAATATGATAAAAGAAAATCCTGATTGCACAATAGCACAGTAGGTGGCGATATGCGCAAAAATTGCAACTCGCCATAAAACTAAGAAGAAGAAGAAGAACTGTTTGGTCGGGTTTATACAGACCTGGCAACCCGAGGGGGAACAGAATAGACTGTTACACCGGTCATTCCACCAGGAGGGAACATTTAATTTAAAAGTCCGTGAAAGTGATTTTGTGCCTCTTTGGGATGGAAGTAGCAATTCTGAAGTAATGAATTTAGGTAAAGGGGTGCAGAGCCAGTGG